ACGCTAGGCGTAGTCTCACCTGCAAGCAAGTGAGCGACCACTACGACCTTCACGTGAACCCACCGCTGACACCCCTACACCCCGCCACTCCACACAACACACACACACACACACACACACATACACACACAACGTGGCGAACTGCGTGCACCGAGAACGGGCGTCAATCTGCAACCTTCCTATCCACGACACTTGACGTGTCGGGATAGCCTCGAACTCAAGTCACCCGTGCAGCCGAGGCCGCATGGGGACCGAGTCGAGATGCACACTTCCCACTTGCGTGGAAGGTGACAGTTGGTGCATGAGGTGTGTGAGTGTTGATGTCTGGTGGGGTGATGTTGGTGGTGAGAGGTAGGGAGTGAGTGAATGTGTAGTTTAACCGGCGGTTGTGTACCGCAGGCCGTCGTGGATGCGCATGTCACCGAATAGACCCGTGCGGTGCCTGAAAGTGCGAGGGCAGTGTGGGCAGTTGAGTCGAGCTTGGTGGGTGTAAGTTGGTGCTCCAGGCACTGGGTCTCCAGTCTCTGTGCGATGGATTCGCAAGTGACCGATCAGGCCGATGCGAGAGGTGAATGTGCGTGGACAGTGTGGGCATGTGAATTCGGCGGTGTCAGTGTCAGCCACAAAGGAGGCGTTGGTGGTGGTGCAGACGGATGGTGGGAGGGTGGTGCTGAGCATGATGGGCTTGGTTGGTGTATCGGAATTGTGGTCAATTCCGCTCTCGTGGATGCGCATGTGGCCGAATAGACCCATGCGATGCATGAAGGTGCGAGGGCAGTGTGGGCAGTGGAGGCGAGTGCGGTGGGTGTAGGTTGGTGCGCCAGGCACTGGTTCGCCAGTCTCTGTGCGATGGATTCGCAAGTGACCTAGCAGGCCGATGCGAGAAGTGAAGGTGCAATCGCAGTGAGGGCAGATGTAGTCCTGGCCCTCACCTCTGATGATGGAGGTTGCAGGGGTTGTGCCTGTTGTTGTGTCAGGTGCGGCTGAGATGGAGTCGTGCGCTACAGACGCCGGAGTGGCCGTCGTTGTGGCAGTGAAGGAGGAAGAAGAGGAGGACGGGGAGGGGCGAGGGGTGGTAGTGTCGGTGGCGTTGATGTCGGTTGAGGAGTGGTTGGTGCGTGCGCAAGATGATGGATTGGGAGTGGGGCTCGGCGGGGTGGGTGTGTCGAGGTTGCGGTCAAGGCCGCTCTCATGGATGCGCATGTGGCCGAATAGACCCATGCGATGCGTGAAGGTGCGAGGGCATTGTGGGCAGTGGAGGCGAGTGCGGTGGGTGTAGGTTGGTGCTCCAGGCACTGGTTCGCCAGTCTCTGTGTGATGGATTCGCAAGTGGCCGACCAGGCCGATGCGTGAGCTGAAGGTGCGATCGCAGTGAGGGCAGGTGTAGTCCCGATCCTCATCACTGGAATCGGGAGAGGTGGGGCTGGTGTCGGTTGTTGTGTCGGGGTTGATGTGCGAGACGGCCGCCTGAGCGGCCGCCGCTGGGAAGGTGGGGGAAGAGGAGGAGGAGGAGGATGGAAGTGGTGGTTCAGAAGAATTGTCAGGGTTAGTTGGCGGCGGCGGGGAGGAAGAGGCGGGCGGGGGGACAATGGCTGGAGCAGTTCGAGAGGCGCAGTTGGTCCGAAGATGTCCAACAAGTCCGATTCGAGGCCGGAATGTCCGTTGACATCTAGGACACGTTGGAAACGGTTGTGCGGCGGCGTTGCGTACTAGGCGAAGTTGTGATTTGCGGGCTTCGCGTTTCGCTTTGGCGGCAAAGATGCGGTTGGCTTCGTGGATAGCAGCCCGGTCTTCACTGTTCTCCTTCATGCCGGACGATCGCGGGCGAGCTCTTCCCAGTTGGTCGGGTTGATTTGCAGACGCTTCAGGGAGGACTTCAGGGTATCCTTGTAACGGCGAATTTGGCCTCCTTGACGGCGAGAATACGTCGCGACGTCTCCGTAGAAGAGTCGTTTGGGTAGTCGCTCGTCGTCCATGCGCACCAGGTGGCCGCTCCAGCGCAGCTGCATTTGTTTCAGTATGGCGTAGATGCTGGGGATTCCCGTTCGTTCCAGTACTTCCGTGTCGAGGATTCGATCCTGCCAGTTCAGCCTCAGGATGCGACGGAGACAACTGAGGTGGAAGTGGTTCAGTCGGCGTGCCTGTCTCGTGTACACCGTCCATGTCTCTGCTCCGTACAGTAACGTCGGCAGGATGACGGCCTTGTACATCTTCAGCATTGTGCTCAGTTGGAGATCGTGGCGATTCCAGACTGTGCTTCGGAGGCGTCCGAAGGCTTGACTGGCTTTCGAGATCCTGTTGGCGACTTCGTCATCAATCTTGGTGTTGCGGGAGAGGGTACTGCCCAGGTACGGGAAGTTCTCCACCACTTGCAGTTGGGTTCCGTTCAAACTGATTTGCGGCGGCGCGTTGGGGGCTGTGGCTGAGTTGGGTGGCGGTTGGTGCATCAACACCGTCTTCTGCGTGTTAATGACCAGACCGAATATCTCGCAGGTGGTTGAGAACAGGTCCATGCTCCGTTGCATCTCCGCTTCGGAGGTGGTGTTCAGGGCGCAGTCGTCGGCGAAGAGGAGTTCGTGCACGGTGGCTGTGGATACACGCGATTGGAAGTTCATGCGCCGGTGATTCAGGAGATGACCGTCCGTTCTGTAGGCGATGCGGATTCCAGGGCTTTCGTTGCGGTAGGCGTCCATCAGCATGGCAGAGAACATAAGACTGAAGAGGGTAGGCGCAAGCACACAGCCATGCTTCACTCCGTTGATTACTGCGAATGCCTCTGAGACAGCTCCGTTGTCCGTGACTCGCGCCATCATACCGTCGTGCAGCTGACGCACCATCTGAGTGAATCGCTCCGGACAGCGAATTTCTGCATGATCTTCAACAGTCCTTCACGATTCACCGTGTCGAAGGCTTTCGTCAGGTCCACGAAGGTAGAGTACAGGTGGGTCCGCATCTTCTGGCACTTCTCCTGAAGTTGGCGGGCTGCGAAGATCATATCCGTGGTCCCACGATGACGACGGAAGCCGCATTGGCTTTCCGGCAGAAGGCCCTGATCCAGATGGTTGTTGAGGCGGTTGAGCAGGATGCGAGCGAAGATCTTTCCGGCGATGTTCAGTAGGGAGATGCCGCGGTGGTTGTCGCAGACTTGGCGGTTCCCTTTTCGATTGTATAGGCGCACGATAGTTGCGTCCTTGAAATCTTGCGGGACTTCACCTTGACGCCACATCTGGAAGAGCGCAGTCAGCTGATCCATCAGTTGGGGACCTCCGTGCTTGTGGACCTCAGCAGGGATAGCGTCCGATCCGGGTGCTTTCCCGCTGGAGAGTTGCTGCACGGCGCTGGTGGTCTCCTGGAGAAATGGCGGGAGGTCAAGGTCCACGTAGGTCTCCACTTGCGGCAAACGCTCGATGGCGGCGAGCGCCGTCGACTGGACCGTGTCTCGCAGTTGACACCAGCGGTTCCCCACGGAGGCGTTCTCGGCAGCGGCGGCATCGGCGATGGGGAGGTTGTCTAGCCGTTGAGCTATCTCATTGCTGAAATGGAGACAGTGAGCGAGCAAAGACAACAAAGCAACATTCAGCTTACCTAGGGAGTGCTTACTTTTTGGTCTCCTGCGAGGCTGTAGGCGAATACGCATCTTCGAGATGACGAGGCGATGGTCGGTCCACGCGTCAGCACCCGCGATCGACTTCGTCACCAGCACGTCCCGCTGATCTCGCCTCCGGACGAGGACATAGTCCAGCAGGTGCCACTGACGCGACCGAGGATGCCTCCAGGTGGCCTTCTCTCCCTCCGGCAGACAGAAGAACGTGTTCGTCAGGATGAGGCGGTGTTCTGCGCAGGTGCGGAGGAGCAGCAGACCATTGTCGTTTGAGCCGCGGAGACCGTGGGGACCCAGCACTCCTCTCCAGGCAGTATGGTCTGTGCCGACGCGGGCGCTGAAGTCACCAAGGACAATCAACTTGTCCGCCTTCGACACAGTCGCCAAGAGGGTGTGCAGGTCCTCATAGAATTTGTCTCTTGCGGCGGCGTCGGGGCTGCTCATCGGCGGAGCGTAGGCGCTGATGATGGTGGCGAATTTTCCCCCACCCCGCAGAAGCAGACGGAGGCTCATCATGCGATCGTTGATGCCCTGCGGCAAACAGGGCAGTCGTCCCATGATGTCGTTCCGGATGGCGAAGACGACACCCGCGTCTCGTCGCTCTGCCTTGGGTCGACCACTCCAGAAGAAGGTGTAACCGGCAACCACCTCCTCCATTTGGCATTGTTCAGAGAATCGGGTCTCGCTGAGTGCGGCGATGTCCACCTTGTAGCGCGCCGGTTCTCGTGCCACTAGCGCCGTCCTCCGTTCCGGTCGGTTGCTCCTCGGATTGTCTAAAAGGGAACGAACATTCCAGGCTGCCAGAGTGAGCGGGCTCACCCTGCCAGTCTGGCGACTGCGGCGGCGAAAAGTAGGAGTAGGAGAAGAAGAAGAATAGGCTGGAGGAGGAAGAGAGTGATTGTTGTTGTTGTTGTTGTTGTTTCGGTTTTGGCTGTTTCGACCGTGTGTTTTTTGTCTGCGGCCACGGCCAGCCTACAGACAGCGTGGTTCCCAGCGATCTTTAGGGCACCTTTTCTAGCCCCCTCCCCCTCGCGGGGGCAGGCAACGCATCCCTGAACAGGGCTGCCCGGTTATCCCAGACGGCTGCCGGACTCCACTATGGGCCACGACTTTTTGTTAGTGAGAGAACGACCCGAATTAGCCTGGGACCTTGGTGGCGATGGTGATGTGATGGAGTGAAGTAGGAGAGAGCATACACACAACCAAACGCTATGGGGCTAGCTAGCTAGAGTGGACAGACAGACACAGTCATCAGTCAGAGACAGAAGTGAGAGGGCACCACACAAAGTCAAGCACCGTAACACCTAGCTATTAGTAGAGAGTGGCATAGACTGACAGACAGACAGTCGTAGCAGGCAGCGAGGGTTTCGTCTAGCTATTAACAGACAGACTAGCATACAGAGGGCAGGCAGCAAGAGCAGCATACGACGCGGAACTTCAACAAACAAAAGGAAGAAACAAAGCAAGCGCACTTACCTGAGGGGGAACTTACCTGGTGGCCTCCTGCGATGGTCCAGGCAGAGCCTCGTCTCGACGATGTCGACGCGAAGATCCATCCGGCCAGCGCAGACCACAGTACCGCGCGTGCAGGTGCATGCACGGATACCCTCACCTGGTTTAGCCCGCCGGTCGAAACGGTTGCCCGGGGTGTGGCCGCTGAGCAGAGCCCAGGTGAGAGTTAGGTGTAAACAAATGGACACTAGGCGTAGTCTCACCTGTAAGCAAGTGAGCGACCACTACGACCATCACGTGAACCCACCGCTGACACCCCTACACCCCACACACACATGCGCTACTGAATTTCCCCTCCGGTTCAGCACGGGGTCGTTCACACAACGAAGGTGTGGTCCAAATGGCCTTGGATATTTTAGTATCTGAGATTAGCGCCAGATGCGGATATGTGGCCCCAATTGAAGAAAATAAACCCCAGCCACCTGCAGTACGGGACCGGTGGTAATAGGGGTTTTTACAGATGGGGCCGGGAAACACACAGGCAACGAGGTCAAGTAGTTGTATACAAAAGAAAAGCTATTGGGAATGCGCGGTTGTACTTTGAGTGGTTGAGAAGTAGTTGCCCAAACTGCTAATCATAACCTCTGACCCTAAAGCCTACCCTCATCCCCGATAGTATTGTGTCCATCAGGTGGGGCTACATAACCACATATTACTAAGGTTAGATGGACTTGATCTATCAAACCACATGCTGTTTGTGCTTCAAAATAATGTCTTGGTCTCTCTGATTTTCACGTTATCCAAATAACAACTAGAGCTGAAAAGAGCGTCGAGGGAGTGATTCTCGGAAAGCCGTCCGAATAATACTTCCCTGCTGGACCGTATACGGCGAGAATCGACGCCAAAGCAATTGTTCTTGTCTAAAAATGCGTGATTAGTACCTTAGTTTAGTTTAGTCTGCCGGGTAGAGCACAGCTTCATGTAGTCACATAAAACGGCATTGTAAGATTTCAATGCCAGGGTGGGACAAAATTTTATCCATACGTGTGGTGGAACCACAAGTGCACCAACACGGAACAGTTCAGCAGATACATCGAGAAAACTAGAGTAATCGCACCACTGCGACACCTCGTGCATTGAAAAGGTTAACCAGAAAAAAGTTAATTCCGATGGAAACAAAACTTTGCAGTGAGACTTTTCGAAACCTGTTTCCCACCTCATCGACAGTCACATGGGCAATGTGCAATAGAGGTTGCCGTTTTAACTGCGATTGACGAATGATTTGCGGTGAGGATCGGGTGAAGGCCCCCAAGTATCTGCGGCATACAAAGAATACCGACTATATTTATTTAAGTGGGTTTTAGTCGTGCACGATTATTTCGGTTTGGTGTTTCATCGTAGAAGGTTTGGTCGTCTGTTTTCGACGGTCTGATGCATTATCTACAATGATCTCAGCTCAGAGAGTTGAGAAGCGATCGTTGTATACAATTGATGTTTGTTTTTTTTAAATTGTCCTGCTTAATGTTGGTTGTTATATGTCAATGCATCAAAGCTTTTCCGTCCGAAAAAGGAATTTATCAGTTATCTATTCTTATTTTGCCATTCCTCTATGCATACAAAGACCCCACCCGTAAAACTCCTATTATCACCTTTCCCCGTAAAACAGGCATCTTCGGCTGGTAGTGTGCTTGGGATCCTTCACTCGATAGTTGCCGATTTTGAGAATGGCCGCAATATTTACACAAATACTAGACCATTGTACTTCATCACCTGGTCGTAATTGACTGTGCCGCTGATATGCTGCCCTCTTTACTTTCCTCAGAAAGTAGTGCGCGAACTTGGAGTAAAATCCACCGGCTTTCATTAGCTAGAAACGGGTGGCTCATTTTAAGCCAACGATGCACTTTCAGCCCTCCTAGTTGGTCAGTCGTTTCCCGGTTTTATAGGATTAGGAATTTACGTCCGATGTTGCACAATGATGAAAAATGACAAAGAATCTCTGGTTCGGATTCGCTAGCCGATTTCATCGATGCTACCCGCCGGCCACTTCTCGTTCTGCAATTGTAGTTCGCTGGTGATCAGACGTCCCTGCCTATACCCACATTTAGAAAAAATTGTCCTCGGAGGAGACAAAAAGCATTTTTCCCAACAGTATTCGGCAGTCACGCTGCCTGTAAAACACGCATGCGTTTGCTCTTTTGTACGGAGCACTGGGCAGGCTGTGGACGAACACTGCATTATCATTTCAGCTTTTTAATCTATTCAGAAATCAATCATTAGCTGGAAACAAATCAGTCGTAATGAAGTCTTATAGGCTCAGTCCGAAATTCGATATGGATATTTGAATTAGGCTCTATTAGATACTGAGGAATAACCGCGCAATATGCACATGCTGCCAACAGACTGTCGTGTTATAAAAATACTAAACGATTTGCCATAAAGTTTCGATCGTCCTGCCCTAAGATGTCAACCGTGTGCTCAAATTAAAAGATGAAGCGGGCACTGGGAATTGTGCGTGACTTAGTTCATAATGAGAGAAGACTTACTTAGCATCTACCGCGCTCTTTCCTCCTCCCACTTGGACCCGGTGTCAAGGCATAGCTGAGGGGATCGGAGGCGGGAGAGGGTGCAATTGGCTGGCATAGCGACAACCTACACGCAGGCGTACCACCACATCCTGTGGTCCACAACAAACAAACACTTGACCAATATTTTAACCGAAAACAGAAACGTACCAGAAAAGAGAGGAGTGACACAATTCACTAGGCAACCATGCACACGACCCCTGTGCCTAAAGGGAGCACAAGTGCATCTACCGGCAGTGAACCAGGTGCCAAAGAACTGTCAGCGCACAGCAGCTGCAAGAGTCACGGTTTGCTGAATCATGACATAGCAGGCGCTCACAATCCTTGCACGATTTGCATGCTGACAGCGCGCGTACTAACTAAAAGTCCACACACACACACGTGTTTCGCTGTTCTTGTGTCACTGTGTGACGCAGCTGGGGTAAATCCTTCAGGACAAAGCCTTTTTTTAGCTTGCCCCGGGCGATTTACTCCAAGTTCGCGCATGAGCGTCCGAGAACGGGAAGCACGGACTGGACGGTGGGGGCCCACTGATGAGCTGGACCCCTCGTAGCTGCGTCATAGAGCGGCACAAGATCGGCGAAACAACCGTGTCAATGATTTTGGCTAGTACTTGTGCCGTCAGTTTGGTAAATCACTCAGTGTGTGTGTGTGTGTGTGTGCGTGTGTGTGTTGTGTCCCCTAAACGGGACACGTGGTAGATGCGCTGGACCAACGCGGGAGCCACATCGGATTATGGAAGGCGTTATCTTGCGCAGTAACAGATGCCAACATCTAGGGGGTGCGCTGGCAGACCCTGCAGTCGGCAGTCGTCGCACAAACTGGGGCCACTGCCACCCCCATTGATTTTTCGGTCAAAATCCTGGTCGTTTGCTGTGTGGACCAGGGGGTGAGGATCCGTCCAAGCCATCCACCTGCGGCCTCCCTCATCTCCGGTCTTATTTACCCTGTCTTGACACCGGGTCCAGGCGGGGGAGGAGGGGAGACTGTGGTAGATGTAACGCAAGTCTGCCGGCACTATAAACCCCGCGCAAGTTACCGTCCCTGCTCCCACCCTGCTGTGGGGCACACGGTGGACATCGTAGGATATTACGGTCGCACTTTCGTGTGTATGTGTGTGTGTGTGCTTGCTCATAAAATGGGACTCGCAGTAGATGTGCTGGACCAACACGAAGACTAGATCAGAGTGTGCGTACTCATAATAAGTGCCAACATTCGGGGTTCAATGACAAGTCCAGTTTCCGGATCACGTAGCGCCAAATAGGATCTGACACTGGTGTTTGCGTATACAGGAACCATGTTTCAATATCATGCACAAGAAGTGATTTTCGTTCCAAAAACATTCGGACTTCTGATTGCCAATCTTACGAAATTAAAGAACTTGTGCATTGAACAAGTGCTATAACGCCTTACAGAAAGGCATTTAATCACAGGAGCTCCCGACGGGTCCCGAAAATGAAAGGAAATGGGCTTCGTTAGATTCACAAACCTGATACTCCACAGTGATCGACGGTCGCCTGAAACAGCGGATCGAAATAAAATATTTCAGAGTACGTGGTTTACTAACTTTACTCACCTACAAAGAACTTCTTGATCTCCACTGACGATCCAAAACAGTTCTTTGATAAATTAAAGGAAGCCAACGTTGCAATGCATGAGGTAATAATATAATTTGATGCGGCCTCGCTCGTCACCGCGACCCTGATGAATTGAATGAAACGCCGCACAGAAGATTTCATCCAACTCACACCGTGAATGTCGCTGAGGACACTATTTCCGCGGAATAAAATCATCAGAAAATACAGCAGGTGACCTGTCCCATGAAACCTGGTGACAGAATCTGATGTGAGAATTCAGGACGTTTAAAAACGTTGCGCATTTTGCTTTCCCGCTCAGCTGCCTTTCGGTAATGTCCTCATCTTGTGCAGAAATTGTGTCCACGTAATTTTTTCAAGCAAAATGTTCATAAACTTGATCGAAAATGGGCGTCGCAGTAAAGTCGGGCATTTCCCTATGCTAATACCTGTTCTGGATTTCGTTTGCCCATCTGAGCGGGTTTTTCCTTGGAAGGCGAGTAAGTTCCTCCAGGGAGTTTTCATAAACAGAGGTTGTCAGACTTGGAAATTAATTTTTCCTCCGATGGTAGCAGTGGTAGGCAACTTCCTAAAACAAAGGTTATTTTAAGAGAACCAGATATTTTGTCGATTTATGGAATTCAGATCAGCAGATCTGTGCGATTTTGTGCCCTAAAGTGCAGTAATAACGCACACAGGCAACAGATTATTTAAGTGAACTAAAATTGTTCTGCCGTTTGTAAACTCCTGCGTGTTGTCACAGGAACGACCACCACCAAACGGTCATTTTCGGCTTTGAACATATTAAATATTACATTTTGTGCAGTCTAACTTCTGCACATGCCTAATTCAGAAATGCAACGAGCAAAACGTGAACATCTTCAACAAAATATCAATGTATATACAGCCACTCTGTCGTGCATTCATAATCGTAGAACGGAATCTAAAGTTGACCAAAAACAATTCAAATGGCCGCAGTATAAAG